AATTGTGTTGGTGATTTCTGGCAAACTTGTTAATTGGGATAAAAGTTATTTCTTAAATGCTCCTAAAACATCTGCTTACAAGACCAATAGAATTAGAAATTGTACTGGTATTATGGAACAAGTCCTCTTTTCCTTTACTTATCTTGGATGTCTCCTGTATGTTGGTAGAAAAAGACTGCACCTTTTGATCATATGGTTAGTAAAGTGGTTTAGAGGCTTCCATAGTTGGCATGGCAAGTTACTATCCTATTATGGCAACATTGTGCTAATTAAGAGTGCTCTTCAATCTCTTCGCATATATACTTCATCTTTGGAGAAGACATATAGGAAGAAATCACCTAGAATTTTCGTCGACCTCAAGGTTCTCAACCCATTTCATTGAGCACTAGGTCACACTTTTGGATGCCTCGGTGGTCAACTTTTGTCAAAAATAAATATATTGTAAAAATAGATCTCACTTGATCAATAGACAATGGTATTCATAATTCCATGGCCGGACGCATATGGTTCAAGTAAGGTAAAAGCAGAGGTTCACATGAATCAGCAAATCAACTCAGTTACTTACAAATCTTTGGCGGGCAATTGGTTTCGTAAGGGTCAACTTGCTCATCTGGTTCCTAACGGGATCACAAGCTCTATCTGCTAAAGAATTCATCCTTAATGGAACACAGAATCTGGCTAAATTAAGCATAGACCATATCCCATTTAGATATTTAACAGACGCTTGGTGGCAAGAAAGAACTATAAATGATGTGCATAAATTAATCCCTCATATTACTCCTATAAATTATTATATGTTGGAAAAAAAAAAAGAAATTAACTTTCTATCTGTTCAGCAGCTTCTCTAGTTGAGGAACCACTAAATGGGCTTTTGGTTTTGTATCTGTAGCTTCAATTATAATGTTTAAGGAAGAATATGTTAGGTAATGTGTACATTAACTACACAAATTTGGCAGAATAATATGCTTAAAGTTACCAGAAAAACAGAGCTCAAAGTTGGATGTGAGCGTGAAAATAGATAATTTTATGAAAAAGTTGGTAAAAAATTATGTCTTACTAAGTAGAAGTTTTGACCAAAATGAGCTATTTTTAAAACCAATTCATTAAAATAATACGTTTTAAAGTTTTTTCACAAAACTAGTATAAACGTACTTTATGGTAACGTTTTAGGATATTTTCATTATAAATATTCAACGGACAAAAAGTTAACGGATTATCGACGTTAAACGCATAAACATAACTATGAGTAACGTTTTAGGTGTAAAACGTTACTCAAGAGTACGTTTTTGGAGAATCCAATCACGGGCCACTGACTCCAATCCTGCAAAAGCGGAGTAAAATCATTCAACTGTAAAACGTTACTATGAGTAACGTTTTACACTTAAAATGTTACTTTGAGTCCCGTTTCTTAAGAATCCAATCACGGGCCTTCGACTTCTGCAAATTTAGAATATTTAGCTATAAAACGTTACTCAGAGTCACGTTTTACCTTAAAAACGTTGCTGTCAATTACAACACTCTATTAAAGTTATATTCCTCCATTTTTCAAACTGACCGAAGTGACTATAAATAAATGTTGTTGTAATATTTTGCATGTTCAAATACAATTCAGCTTAATTTTTTCTTGTGTGGTCCATTTTAAAAATAATATTCACAAAATTTCATCAGGTATGAATTAAATAAGTGAAGTTTATCCTTTGTTATGTTCTTATTATAGCTTTAAAATTATCTTTCTAATTTAATAATATTGTTTTAAAAAATATTTTATCTTTATGTGTAGGATTAAGATGACGAGCTTTGAACATAATGTGATGGTTGCTTTGTATTGGGGTGGAGAAATAATTGCAGATATGAACAGATTTAGGTATACTGAATGTGCTAGAACGATTATTAGCATGTCGACTTCAACTACCTATGTTGAATTGGTTGGATTGTTGCATGAGAAAATGGGAACATATAGTGAAAATATTCATATGGATATTTCTGGAAAATATCCATGTTCAATTCAAGGTAACAATACAAGGTTCATTGAGTTTAAAATTGAGAATGACCAATCTTTGTTACAATTTCTTTTCATACCTCAAAAATTTGCGGATAAGATTGACATAAATGTTTTGGAGATGTATGTAAAGACTGTATCGACAGATCAAAATGTTGCATTTCAAGTTAGTGGTCATTATGATTATCACATGAATTTGTTGGCTCAAAATTATGACCTTACCATGATCAATCAACCTCATGTTGTAGAACCGATTGTTCAACCACCATTTCAACAATTGTTGATGCATGATCATCAATTTGGTGAAGGCTCAAGTAGTCAAATGCATATTGATAATAGTCACATGGAATATGAGGCTAGGTAAACAACAAATCTTTATTTTATTAAATTTTAGTCTAACAATTTAATAAGATAATTTTTATTGTCAGTATACACAAATTATCTCTTATAAATAGAAGAAATAATATTTTAGAGTATTTATTATCGCTTTTAAAACAAGCTTGTATATTTATAATTTTGCTAGAATTTGACTAATATTTTTTTTACAGAGATATTGATATCAACGTTGATCTATATAATGATGTAAATGCTGAAATTAGTGATGAAAGTTCGGAGGAAGATGAACCTCCGAAAGATGGTGATGAAAGTGAACCTGATGAAGATATCGATGATATTAGAGATTTTTCTCAAAATGGTGTAAATCTTCATAATCATGATCAGGGTGTGTCTCATGACATACCTTATTTCAGGACATTAGAGAATGAGGAAGACATTTTCATGTCTACATGTGAATCTGAGATGGAATGTTGTTCAGTTTGGTCTGAGCAAGCAAAAAAAGATTTAAAAAAAGGTATGCTTTTTAGTAGTAAAGAAAAGTTGAAAATGACTGTAACGATTTGGAGTTTGCACAAAAATAAGGAGTTCAAGGTGGTAACATCTACCAAAAGTCTATGGGTTGTGAGATGTAAGTTTTATAATTTATTGGGTTGCATGTGGTTTCTTCGAGGACGACAAGTTGGAGAAAAATTTTGAAAGATCGGAAAATATGTTGAAAACCATAGATGTGAGACTGAGGGGCTTTCTAGTGGTCACGCCAACCTAAATACCAATTTGATTGCATCACTACTTCTAAATCAAATTAGAAAAAATCCTAAGTTCTTGATGGTAGATGTCATTTCAAAGGTTCATAAAAATTTTGGTCACCAAGTGACATATAGAAAAGCATGGATTGGACGCAACGCGCGTTTGAATTGGTGTATGGTGACTTTAAGAAATCATTTAGTGAACTACCTAAATTTTTTGCAGCTTTTCAACACTTTAACCATCAAACAATTGTGGAATGGAAACACGAAGAGTCTATGAGTTCATCGGAGGTAAAAACTTTTAAATTTGTATTTTGGGCTTTCAAGCCATGCATTGATGGATTCCAAACATGTCGCCCAGTTATTTCAGTAGATGGAACTCATATTTATGGAAAATATGAGATCAAATTATTAATTGTTGTTGGAATTGATGGAAATGATAACATTCTCCCTTTAGCGTTTGCTATTGTAGACAAAGAATCAAAAGAGGCATGGAAATGGTTTTTTAGAAATTTGAGTGCACATGTGATGAAAAGTAGACAAAATGTATGTGTTATATCTGATAGGGCAAAAGGAATCTTGACTAGTTTGCAGGAGTTGCGGCGATTTCAAGAGCCTCGAGTCTTTCATCGATTTTGCATAAGACATCTTAAGAGCAACTTTCAATCTAAATTTCCAAATAAGGACCTCAGCAGATTGATGTAGAGGGCTGCTTCAGCCCATCAAGTAAGGAAGTTTGAGTCCATGATGTGGCAAATTAAAGAAGAAAATATCGAAGCACATGCATACCTCATGGAAATTCCCTTGGATAAATGGACTGTTAGCCATGATGATGGAAAAAGATGGGGAGTGCTGACGACAAATCTTTCAGAGTCATTCAATGGAGTGTTGAAAAGAGCACGAGGTTTTCCTGTCACTTCTATGATTAGACTTTCATTGGAGCAAACTATTGAATGGTATACCCGTAGGTCTCAAATAGCACACCAACTTGCAGAGCAAAATGAATTATGGACCGGTAGGTTCAAAATAAAGTGGGAGAAGAATTATGAAAGTTTAAAGAGGCACTTTGTTTTTGATTGGAATATACCCACAGGAGTATACGAGGTTAGATCTATACAAGTTGATGGTACTGGTGGTAATCCTCATTGTGTTTCACTAAATGAAAGAAAATGTGATTGTGGAAAATGGGTTAATCTGCACTTCCCGTGTTCACATGTCATGAAGGTAACTGATAGAATGGGAGGGCTAGCTAGAAATTTTGTTAGCGAGCATTTCACAATAGAGAATTATGTTGCAACATATTCTGGGTCATTCTCACCAATTGGTCATGAGTCATATTGGCCATCTCCAAGTTTTACAATGAGAAGTAATGAATTCTATCGTCGTCCTAATCGGCCAAGGACAACTAGAATACATAATGAAATGGATCGTAGTTCTACAGTGTATGAGCGAGCTTGTGGATTATGCAGGCAGACAGGACATGATAAGCGTAAATGTCCCAATTGTAATTAAATTTAAGTGAATAATTGTGGGTCAATGTCTAATGGTGTTAATTTTCTTTATGTTATCTAATGTAATATGAATTTTTCTAGATTGCTAATAAAGAAAAATTATTAATGTTAATTTCCAAATTTCCATTTATATTAATTTCCTTTCAATTATTAGTGCATAAATTTATCTACTACATAAGCTTAAATCTTAGAGGAAAAAACTAACTTAACTTAGAAATTCTCAGATTACTAACTTAGAATCTGCAGCTGAACAAAATTTCATATTTGTTGCCAACCTTGGTGATTCCCAAGCTTCCAACCTTGGTGATTCCCGAACAAAATTTCATATTTCAATTATTAGTGCATAAAGTTATCTATCACTTTTCACAAACTTGAAGTTACATTAAGGAATAGTTGAAAAACACAAACTAAATAGAAAATAATATAAACATTCATGTATTCATAGAACATGTTGCTTTACAAAATAATGACTAGTAGTTTCATTCTTCACAAAGAATCTCTACTACTAAATAGAAAATAATATAAACATTCATGTATTCATAGAACATGTTGCTTTACAAAATAATGACTAGTAGCTTCATTCTTCACAAAAAATCTCTACTATTCACCAAGGGTTATCCAGAATATCAACAAGCTGCATCAACCTAAGAAAAAATGATTAAGAAAACTTTGATGAGTTACATGCACCAAGAATCTCAATCTATACTGAAAGCACAAACTCAGTGGCACAAGCTAGCACGTCAAGTTTCATTATTTTTATATATTTTCAGAATTTACAGATGTTCATTTGGCTGCCCAAATAACTTTTGCTACTCTTTGTCGTGTCATCAAAGAATCTAAACATCTTACAAGAAAGTGGGGAGATCTTCATCTGTTAACTACTTGTTAGACATGAGAATTCAATATTTTTAGACATGGGAATTATATGTGAATAACCACATGAGAGATTTGTGCAATGTTTTGATAACAAAGAGCAAACTGCAAATCCCAAATGAAATAATAAAGAAAGATATAGTAATAGTGAATTTATAATGCAGTTCCTAGAACTATCCTAGAGGATAAGAACATCCGAAGCAATTAGCAGATAACAACCATGTCTAAAAATATTGAATTCCCATATCCAAAATTTACTTAAAACAATTTTCCAATATCTATCGAGAGATGAAACAACACAAACATTAAATTAACTCGGAACAATTGAAGCATTTCAGATTCGGAACAACTCTGTTTTACCAAAACATGGAAGAAACAATTGAAGTATTTCAGTTTTGGAACAACTCTGTTTTTCACAAGTTCATTATCAAAATGAAAGGTAGTTATCATTCGATCAGTTAAACATACTGTAATCTCAAACATGAGATGGTCCTTTAAATCCCACATTCTTTCCTACTCACTTAATATAAGATTAGCAACACTAAGCCTCCTGACTATTTTGTATCACTTATATGGGTCATTTACTTCCATTACTATTAGTACCAGTATCAAAAATTCTATTTCTTGGCATTTTTTCGATTAGGCAACCTGTGAACATTTATTTTTATACAAGCTACCTTCCAAACTAAAAAAAGGACTGATTCCAAAAGGTTGTAGGTCTTCTAAGTCAATTTCTCTCCATGAAATATTACATCCACCTCGTCCCTTTTAGTGTCTTCGAACACCATAATATCAGCACCTACAAATTGGTGCACTTGGAGGTCTATATATGATATGTCCAAACCATTCTACGCATGTGATTTGCACCCTTTTTAACCATTTGATAATTTTCAGTACTCTATATCTTAATATCAACATTTCTAATATTCTAACTTTTTGAGCAAATTTATTTCACTCAACTGTTTTTCTAATTCAGATTTCAATATTTTTTTTCGTTCTCCTTTTGTCCAACCATCTAGCAGAGCAACATGGAAAATTTAAAAAAAAAAGAAGAGTTTTCAGAGCAACCATCCAACAGAGCAACTTTAAGGTACTAAATCAAAGAAGAAGTAGATCTCAAGCAATCCCAACACAGACTCTTCATCACAATACAATTTTCAACTAAGAAAATATCATACCCAATTTTACCTAAGACTGACAAAGAAGAAGAAGGAGTACCAAATTTGGATACCTGAAACCTCTCAATTACAGTTCTTTGTTTCTCGTTGCTTTTTTTTTTGCCATGCTGGTAAAGATAGTGACTCCCTGACAAACAAGAATAATTTTCAGTTGTTCGACTAAACAAAGGAGTATTTATGTCAAAAAAATAAAATAAAGATGTTAATAGTACCAGTCCCACAACGCTTAAGGAAAAATCCTACGCTTCTCCTTCACTGATGGTTCACCACATTCGTTTGCATTCTCCACTTCATCGTTGGAGTCCTCTAAATGATTAACAACACCAGGGGTCTCAATGGATATTGGCAGCCCAGGTGATGAATTAAAGTTGGGGGCATTCTCAAAATCTTGAGGTCGAGAACCACCAAATACATTCTCAAGTGATGAAAGACTAGAATTCCTTAATATTTGTGATGCCATGTATGGAACAATATCAGTATTTGTTGGTTGATATGTCATACCTGATGCCCCGGGAGTGAATTCTTGAGTTTGGCCCCTTGAAATGGAACCAAAATCACAAGTTGTGTGATCATCTTCGGAGACTAATATATCCATTTCAATTGGCGCTCGTCCTTTCTCAACAGAACCACGAGCCCTCCTACCGGCAACACCACCTTTTCCTCGCCTACGAACCGGATGATGTAAATGATCATCATATACCTCATCTCTTCTATAATCGGCTTGTACATTAATCCTAGCAGCCTCGTGGACATATGTCAAGCACTTTTCTCCTTCATTTCGGACCATTGCACGAAATATGTATAAATCCTCCATTGATGGCTGATCACCAAGGGCTTTTGCTCTATCAATCGTGGAATGAATATGACGCACCTACACAAAGATCAAATTTTTTTCTTACAAACATTTTCCATTCTTTTTTCTAACAGATGCTCAAACAAAGATCAATAAAGCACTTATTTTATATTTTGTAAGAAAAAACATAGGTAACAATTTTCCAAGTCACAATTTTTGAGAAGAAGCAATATTATCCTCAAAAGATAAATCACAAACACACTAAATATAATGCATACCATTGTTTCATATGCCGTTGAATTGGCACATAACCTTCTTGTTGTTGAGGACGCTGAGTAGGATTACCAATAACAAGACGAGTAATGCGTCTAAACCAAATAAGGTAAGGGTCGTCATATCGAAGTGGTTCACGATTGACCGGAGCATCACAAACATATTGAAGTCGTTGGTTCCAAAGAGGCAACCATTGTGCATGCTCCAACTTCCAATTTGTATTTGGTCTTCCCCTTCGATCATGGTGAAAATGTGTGGCGTCAAATAGATTTGGAGTTGGTATCGTTTGGTTTAGTCCAAATTTTCTCATAACTCGATCAGGCAAGTGAACTTCAACGATATCCCAACAAAAAATTGGAGCTCTTACACGCCATATAGGAAGACTCTCAATTAAGTCATCCGAATATGGTTCCCAAATACACTACATAAAGAAAAATACATGAGTTTCAACTACAATATATACATAATTTTTTAAAGAAAAACAGTATAACATCATACCTGATCCTCTGTCATGGAATCAAATGCATCCCTAAAAACTTTCAACACATGCTTAGTGGTATCAATCCAACTAAAATGTGCAAACCATCTAGTAGCACGTGGACCCCTAGGTAAACAAGCAAGAAAATTATTTTCGATGTCTCTTTGTGCTATTATCTGAGGTCTGAGGACAGTAACTCTCTCCCATGCCCAAATCTAAACATAATATATAAATATATAATTATGATATTATAAACTAGAAGAAATATTTATAAAGAATTGATGTAATTATTATGTATACCTGAAGCAGTGGTAGAAAGTCAGCTATCTCATTTTGGTTACTCTGTGAGGCCTTACAGAGAAAGCGATACAAGCACGCTTAGGTCGCACTACCCCAACTATAAGAGCTAACTACATTGAGATCCTCGAGCATAGGAAGGTACATAAGATTTAGATAGTTGCCAGATGTATCTGCCATCATCATATCAGCAATCATCCAAAACATGTAACATCTAGCCATTTGATCGATCATTTCTTGTGTTGTCAAGTCAGGTAATTGTAGTTGCTCGAGCATATGCGCATTAAGTGCAGTTACCTTGAGGCTACTACGGTTGAAGTCTTGAGGACGTGGAATAAAACCTAACAATCTTTGACAAATATTTTGCCAATCCCCTATGGTCCTTATCGACTCATCACCAACTACTGGATCACCATTCACAGGTAATCCATACAACACTTCTACATCTTGCAAGGTGATTGTCGCCTCACCCGTTCTAAAGTGAAATGTGTGAGTCTCGGGACGCCATCTCTCTACTAGTGAAGTGATCAAGCTACGATCAACAGAAGGTCGATTTGATCTATAAACACCATATAGTCCTGATAATTCAATCATTTCTAAGACTCGGATGAATATAATATTTCTTTACGAGGTCCCAAAATTTTTCATCACACCTCCTCGTATTTTAAATCATATTAACACTTTCATTCCATATATCCCATGACCTATGGGTAAGTTGTTGAGTTAGTACCGATGGTTCAAGTGGACCGGGATCCAATCGATATGCACTATAACCAGTCATATATGTATCTATTAAACTGAAAATTTCATATGAAAGTATATTAATTATAATTGTTAGTCCAAAATATAACAACCAAATCAAAGTAATGTACTATCACCAAATGTTTTATTAAAATATTGAAAAATAAACTCAATTTTAGTAGAAGCGCATATGCAGGTCAACCAAATATAGTCTTCCCTTCCATTTTCATGTGAACATTTTTTTTCTTTGTTTTTCTTTTCATTGTTTCTCTTTTCATCAACAAGATGCATGAATTCAAAATAAAAACAGAACATGCATATTAGAATTTCTTGAGTGATATTATTCTATATAACCAAAACAATATAAATACGAGAAGATCGAAATTCTAAAATTCAAGCATTCCATCTACTAGTTTGTAAGGGAAAAAAACATACCTCAAGGCTTTAACACAGGAAATTAACTTGATTCCAAGCTTTCCAGAAGATTGATAGCCGTAATTTTTCGTGAAACTCGATATAACAAGAAATCCCCAAAATTGATTTGGAAAAACTACAGCTACCGTTTATCCAAGAAATGAGGTTTTTATCCATTCATTATCTTCCTGTGTTTTTGTTCTTTAACGCCTCCTCTTCGTCCAAACCGATCGAAAATGGAATTTTTGGAAGTTTAGAATGAGGCGGCTGCCATTTTTTTTAGGGTGAAAGGGGTTGAAAACTTGAAAGGGGTGAAAGGGGTGAAGGGGTACCAAATAACATTATTAAAGGTAATAAATGAAAGTGACATCGTTCAGTGAAAGGGGTGGGGCTCACGTTTTAATATAAAATCGTTACTGCCAGTAACGTTTATTAATTTAACGGCGTTAATTTTTTTTAAAATCAAATAAAGCCTAAAACGTTACCATAAAGTACGTTTATACTATTTTTGTAAAAAAAATAAAAATATATTAATTAGGTAAATTGATTTTTAAAATAGATCATTTTGGTCAAAAATTCTACCAAGTATGTGAATAATGTGCATGCTACTATGCTGGGGAGGGGGGTGGGGGGAATATATTTTAAAGACTACATACACAATTTATGGTCAAAAGGAAAACAAATAATATTATCTGAATAAGAAAATAAAGAGAATATTGCAAAGTAAAATTTAAACAACAACAACATACCAGCATAATCCCACAAGTAGGGTCTGACAGTAAAATGTAAAGAGTAAAACAATAAAAGCATAAACGGGGCAGAGGGGGGTGAAGGTTGGGGCAAGGCCGGGTGACAGATTGGGCAGGGAAAATATATGGAAAAACCATAACTACGCTGAGCGCGTCCAATTATTTGTGGGTTAAGGCATCTATATCCCTAATTATGTAATACGTGATTGGGATAAAACCGTTAAAGAGATAAAACAGAATGTACTTTTATTTCATATTGAACTCCTTGCGAAGAAATGGAAACTCTATTGGGAGGCCCTTCTTTATTGATGAAACAAATACATTAGCTGCTACAATCAACTGAGTAACTACCTGCAGCACATGACACAAGTTTTGTGGTATGATACATCAATTCGCTCAAATGTTGTTATTCCAAAACATAATGCGTGTAATGCTCAAAAGGAGATAATAAAATAGTTGAGCCTCGGGTTCTTCTTTCTTCCCATTAGTTTCAATTATCAATATCAATGTTCCAGCAGGAAAGAAATAACGCAATCACTTTCTCAATTTATCAAAGTTAGAAACCCAGTAGCGTATTGCATAGATACTACTTTTGACACAAATTTTACTATTCTAGATTATTTATGGAGTAATAAATATTTATATATGAAAAAAAATTATATTTTCCAAAAATTTAGCTCATAAAGGAAATAACATGCTTGTACTTTTAATTGATATCTGATAATATGAGATTATGCTATAGAATATCTGGTGCAACAAACGTAGAATGGTCCAGTAAGAACAGAGCTACGCAAATTAATTATTCTACAATTTCTTCAGCTTTTGAGATTAAAACATTCGGCAAGATCCAGGGCCAAGTAAGAAGTACATGTAGCCAATTACTTTTAGGTGATGTTTTGTATATTTCAAAAGAGTAGCAAAAACATATAAATGATGCAAATTTTCTTTAATTCCTTGTATAGAAACACACAAGTAATAATACAAGTTTCAAGAGTGAGAGATAAAATACAAAAAGATTATCAGACACTCTATGCTTCTAAGTTCTACCCTTTCTTTATGCCTGAAGTTCCAGTAAGGTACACTTTTGACATATTGTGAGAAAGGAAATTTCAGTAATCTGTACATATTTGAGTTACTATAAGTCCACAAGTATTCAGGACTAGGGATGAGCTTTAAAATAAGCTAAGAGGCCAACAAGAGGTGCGTTTACATATGTAGTTGGTTCTGACTGGGCAGCATTAGGTCTTGAATCAACAAAATAATCTTTGATGTCAGGTCCTCCAACCACAGCCCCTATATGCAAGTTGGGATTTGGATTTTCACTGAGGAAATATGGTGTCCCTTCTTTACATCCCATCTTCTCTGGATGTTGATTGATAGACGGCAATGAAGCTCCTCTATGGTGTATTCTTTGAGGAAATTTCGTTCCAAACCCAACCATGTATGACATGTTCATTGGATTTATCCCAAGAATATAATTCACCTGCAGTCATCATATCATATGTACCTCCATTAATTTATTAGTTTCTTTCAAATTTGTCACAATTTTGTTATTATTCTAATATGTAGCACACGCTACAATACCTGGCTTCTTGCAAAACGAATGAGCATCTTTTGAGTTACATCAATGTTGCCACAACGAATGACTCTGCTCTTCATGTAGCGCGCATAGGTAAGAAGTAGAAATGACAGAGCTGTTGGATTTTGCATATTACAAATCCCTGATTTGTACATGAGTCCACCTGCAAAAAGAATTGAGGATGAAAACAATTAGTACAATCATTTTTTGCTTTTGAAGTTGAAGATAAGGGGAGGGGGCGGCGGGAACTATACCTGGAGTGTATCTGACTGTATTGGTGGGAGATTCAGGAAATACACTGCAGACGAATGTATCAGCGTATGGAAGGAAGGGGTTAGCATTTGAAGGGTTATCGAGAACAAACTGTAGTAATGTCCACAAAAGTGAAAGATGTTAGATTGAATCATAAATATATATGCAGAGTAAACAAGAGTATGCTCTAGCTAGTTAACAAACCTTGGAGATAAGCACATTGATACCAGCATGCTTGGCATCCCATCCGAATTCTGATAAGCTGCTTTCCATGTCTGATTTGAAGTTTATTATGTTTTGTTTGACGTAGATCCAATACATAGGTTTTCTTGTAGCTTTGAGGAGCCACGCTGCAGCCCAAAGCAATTCATCCTGTTCAACTAGGAATATCAAGAACTTGCTGAATGTCAAAACAGTTTGAATATTATCAAGCCTTCAGACTTACTTTGTATCCATTGTAATCACAATAGAATGGGCACACCCAAGATCCTAAGTGATCATTGTAAGATCCCCTGTATTTATCCGCAAACTCAAAAACCTGAAGTTCGTGCAAAAACAATAGCATTATTTTCACCTCGACTATTTGGTAGTACCGAAGAGGAACACTTTAGTTGTCTTATTAATAATACTTCCTCTGTCTCCAAATATTAGCAGTCATGGCAAAGTGAATATATTTAAAAAAATTGATGGCTAGTAGCATATTGTTACCTGAACAGCTCTGTTGACAAGCAATTTGGAATATGCAGGATCAGTACGCTTAAAAACCACGGAGGCAGCAGCTAGAGCAGCAGCAATTTCAGCAGAAACTTCAGAACCAGGAGCTTGTGCAGTAACTGCAAAAGCAGTACGAGGAGTGTCCATATCTTCAGGCCTTTCCCAACAGTTGTGATCGTTCTCCGCGTTACCTACTTGTGCATATACCACATTGGGAATGTTTGTTGCCTTTAAGAAATAATCCGTGGACCACCTGATAGCCTCCATGGCATGTTGCAAGTCTGGTCCCATTGAATTTTTGAACTGCTCGACACTCCAAGCCAACATGGTCGATGTAAAAGCCATTGGAAAGTGGAACTTGACATTGTCACCAGCATCATAGTACCCACCTACCAAATCCACCTGAAAAAACAATCCCTCTGAATCAATCAAATGTATATAATGTACCAAAGTGTCAAGTGTTCTTAAACATGCCAACTAAGTTAACGGAATTAAAGAGTCACTATTGAATATAGGAAGTGATATTTTCTTTTAAACATATAAAAAAAAGTAAGACGCTTAGATTGAGATAGAGGGAACTAGTATCCTATATTATGTATGCTTACACCCTTTTCCGCTCCATCAAGAAGAGCAGAATCCTTTCTCCAAGTCATGCGCTGGTTAGGGGGTAATTTACCAGACCTTTGTCCCTCGAAGAAGAGAATACTCTTTGTCAAGGCATCAGCATAATTAGGATTAGGAACGTTAATTGCCACAACCGTTGATGTCAAGCAGACAAATGCTGCTGCTATTATTTTCAGGACTAGACAATTAAGAGATAACTTTCCGCTACCAATAATCATCTTTAGTTTCTCAATATTCGTCTTGGTCTAGGTACGATGTTTGTTGTTTTTATTCACTAGAAACTATCATTTTACATTATATATATACTTGTCCAAAAGAACATCCTCCTTCCCGAGTATGCTTTTCCATAAAGAGTGGAAAAGCAAGCCTTGGAAATGCAAGTTCATTCTACAAAAGCAGACTAATGATCTCTGATTGAAGTATATCAGAGGACGACAATTTCTATTTTATTTCTGTGGGTATAGACATAACAAGTTAACAACATTTTAAAGTCTAATTCATATATTTAATCACATTGTACACGAACAGTGGTATTGTAGCGTATCTCAAATGATACGGAAGTATATGTGAAGTTACCTTTATGAGCGGGAGGCTGCGGAAAGCAACTTGCCATGGTATTAGCTCATGATCCGAGTGATTTTAATAAAATAAAATAAAAATTTAGTAACTTTATTAGATAATTTTTTTAAATTAAGTGATTTTTTTGATCTATTAACGAAAATGTGAAAAAAATTTCAGATGATTTGACTAGAATATAATATGATTAATTAGAAGGAGAATTTGTTTCAAAGCAAGCATAAAGAGATGTAAAATCCAAATAGCCGCCATAATCCCTTTTCGAGGATTAAATTTGGGTCAAACAAATAATAATAAAGAAACAAATATTTATGTAATAATACTAATATTTTATTTCAATATAAGTGTTATAATCTCTATGAATTGTTTATCAAAATTCAAATAGCCGACGTCTTCCTTTTCAAGGATTGCAAGATCCATTCCCAAATTAAAGTGAAATTCCGAACAAGTTACATATATTAGCTCTGACTCTAGTTATTGGTTGACTTTTAAGTTTCTTTCTATCTAAGCACCTTTAATTTCATTTCCCCCAAAGCAAAACCATTTGTAAGTTTGCCTTATATGTCTTCGTAACACCGTGTCGAAATATATTTGATTGATTATGAAATTTAAAAGGGAGAAGAGATTTTTAAAACTTTTGTTTAAAAAAATTAGGGATGGAAAAGGGAAGACAATATGGAGAGTCAAACTTTAAGCAACCACTTAATAGTTCAAATAGTTAACCAATTAAATTATTAAATTTTTTTGTAAATTTTTAAAATTTGTAATCTAAAATAAATTATTAAATTAAAGTATTTATTTATTACTAAGTCTTTAAAAATAGTTGAGAACCTAAAGCTGAATTGTCAATAAATACTTTTAAAAAAATTACCATTTCTATTTAGGACCGCCTAAGAAGGAAACAATGTCACTTCCATTCAATCTTTGATTTTTTAGACTTTGTTCTTCTTTATTAATTTTTGCCTCAAGAATTTCTTAATGAGTTATTGAAAAAACTTATTAGATTCAGCATATAGTAATATTATGAGAATTGAATTTTGAACTGAAAAGTTTAAAGATTTGTTCTTTAAAATGAGTGGGAATGGGTAAATGGAAATGGGGATATGATATTGGGTTAATCCGGTTATTTCTTAAAAGGGTCGGGTTATCGGGTTAAAAATAGGAAATAGTTTTTTTAAAAAAAAAAGGGTAATTGGGTCAATTTAGATCAATTTTGGGAATTTTGTCAAATGAAGGGTAATTTTAACTTTATTTTAACGGCGAGGACAAAGTTAAACAATAAACCAAAGTTATATATATATATATATATATATAACTAGAAACAAACTTTTATGTTTTTTAAGCATCTCTTTCTTTTTTACTAATGCTCTCAAGAGTGACGCTGATGAAACTGTTTCATAGACATCAGTTTCTTTTTGTATGGATGACCTTTAAACTAGGATAATCCAGTCCAGTTTCATGATCAGTTCTACTTGTGTACGGTGCAAAAATTATTCTCCCCTGTCATCTCAAAAGGGAATTAGAAGCTTGAGGCTCTTAAAATCCCAATTAGTTAAGATGATAAGTTAAACTTAAAAAGTATTTTCAAATGTCACAAGGGAAAAAATGAACGTGACGGATTAATTCAACGTAGGTTTCTTATTAGAGTAAATTCTTAGTCATCCAATGGTAAGGATGTTGCATTGCATCCACCAACACTAGCTTGTCGAGAAACAACTTGTTAAACTGGATTCTCGTGAACTGACCTGCCATTTACATTTTTTCTTCGTAGTCTTGGGAGATAACATTCAATTCTTCTATTAATAATAATAACTATCTTATAGCAGACTAGACTATTTTGACGAGCATAATGCTTATGCTTAGCTTTTTTTTGGCTATTTAGATCTTTGTGGTCAACAAGTCCGCAAACCTTGCAGAACATCCATGGGATTCCCTATAGTATTGCCTCATGCTGAAAGTGATGAAGCTGCAGGTTGCTATTTGCTGCTTCATCTCTATTTCCTTTTACAAGTCTACAGGGGAATTGGGAAGCAACAACACGCCTTTTTGCCCAATACAGGTGGTCATCGTCCACATCCAAGATGAATAGGGCAGAGCCATGGCAGCATCCATCCCTTCACAGATTTGCAGCTATGTGCAATGCGACTTGAACGATGAAAATCAAGTGAAAGTGATGGTTGAACGGTCCAAAAATAGGGTCAGCTTGACATCATGTTCAGTAACGCACAAATTGTTGGCAGTTCAGGTCAAAAGGTACTCAATCTGGATCTTTCCAAAATTAACCGGGTGATGAAAGTCAATGCTCGAGGGCATGTTTGTGTAAAGCACGCAGCACAACAAGCCATGGTGGAGAAGCGTGTTAGGGAGAGCATAATTTGTAAGGCCAGTATTGCGACAAGCAGGGGAGGACCCTGGTAGACTGATTACATAATGTCGAAACACGCTGTTTTAGGGGTAGTGAGATCAGCTTCAAAGCAATTGGGTGAGTATGGAATAAGGGTAGTTAAACACTTGTAGTTTAGCTCTTCTCTTAGATGGATTTTGAATCTTCACAACGTGCATTCTCTATTCTAAGATTGAATGTGTCTTGATTTTGTAATTAAGATGCAGTGTGTTGTGACCTTCTGGCTATGTAAAATTCTCCAAATTACAATGCTTTGATTACATTACGATTTGGCAAAATTGCAAGTTACAATTGGAGAAGTATTGGCTATTACTGGAGAACTATTTGTTAGGCCTATGGATCCGTGATCTATAGATTGCATTAAAGCACAAGTCCAGAAAAGCAAGTGTAAAGTTTCCTAAAAGTCATGAACTCTAGAAAACCAAGCAGTTGAAACAAATTTGATGAAAGTTCGACTACGTATCCCATTAATATTATGGACTATGGAATACTAAATTCTACTGATAGAGAATAAACTTTTGGTATATTGGATAAATTTAGGGAGAAAATGTCTAAACATTAAGTATTAATGTGGTTTGATTCATATGACTTATAGTTTGTGTTTTCTTTTGGGCCTGATGCAGTTTTGACGGAATCGTCATAATTGACTTGTTATAACTGTTGGGAAAGACAAGGTACTAACAAAGAATGTCTGATAGGATAACAGCGGAAGGAATACGCAAGTCTATACTTTCCCTTTTCGATTTGAACCAAGAGAAGACAAACAACCACAAGCAATATGATAGTAAGGCAGCAAGTAATTCAATCAAACAAATATAACAAGGCAATGATAAACCAATCACACAAGACACCAAGATTTACGTGGAAAACCCTTCGATGTGAAGAGTAAAAAAACCACGGGACCAAAAGCTCCACTATAATCACCAAGAGTTACAATATTGTTCTCCAAAATTGGCCACAAAACAAGTGCCAAACAACGAGCAACAACAAAATAAGATTGCACCAAATCTAGAGAATTAAAGGAGCAAAATCACCAATTTCGCAGCTACTATTCACGACAGCAAAACTGAAGCTGCAGGCCACCAAATCCAACTCTGTTAGTTCCTAATCAAAGATTGAGATGAAGATAATATGCTGTCCAAAAATCCAGCTCAATCGGACAAGAAACGAAGCGGGAATCGCAATTTGAAGTTGACTGTTAGGGCTGAATTTTGACTGCGAAAATCTGCTCTTTTTCTCTCTTTTTAGCTGCTAAAAAACTCTCTGTGTATTTGAAAATAAGACCTAAATAGGCTTATATTTGCCTCATAAGAATATGCCTATGGGCAAAAATGGATTGGTCCAAATTGAGCTTTTATTTCTACACATAGGAAGGGAAAAAAGACCCATAACCCAACAATAACTTGTTAACAATCATCAAATTTAAAAGCTTTGAGCGCATGAGGAACCTAGTCTTTTTTATTATTATATTAACGAAGATAACCAAAGTTGTTGTGCAGATTATAAGAAGTTGGTATGTAACTTGTAAATCTTTGACACACAAACTTATGAAAGAAACAATGTATACATTGAACTGGAAATTGCACGAGTAAAATTGAAATATCTATTAATAACAAGTACTATTATTTATATGCGGCAACATATATATATAAGTATTGAAAATCCATTATCACTTGGCTTGAAGCATACAAACCATTGGTTGAAACTAAAAACTAATCAAGATTTTACATGTATAGCTTTCTTGGTAAATTGAATTTCATACTGCACTATGCTTCAATCTTATACCTTATACCCAAAAACGGCGTAAGACAAACACGTTCATGTTTAATTCTCTGATGCGTGATTGTCGAGCCTCTAGGATCCCAATGGTTAATAGCAATGCCGAGAACTATTGGTAGCAAAGGGCAGCCCAAATTGGCTGGTAGAGACATCATAGTCCGAGCAAAAGAAGAGAGTTCCCAGATGATGGGCAACATTGTGTGCAAAGGGAGACCTACAGAGCTTAGTATTTCACAAAGACTATCATCGGGAGCAGCATTGTCACGAATCATAGCATTACTCGGCAAATAGTAAGACTCCGTGATAAATGGACCTCGAGGTTCCTCAACGATGGGATCCCCTTTCTTTGATAGGTACTGAACGAATTCTTGAACCCGAATTTCAATCAAGAATAATGGACTGGTAGATGAGTTGATAATGCTCTTCAAGTTGAGGTACTTTGGAATGATAAAATCATCTGTCCAAACTTCAAACTCATTGAAGGCAATTTGTGGAATCTCCATGTTCTTGCAATTGTAGATTGACCTAAGTGAATGAATAGAAAAGATTATTAGTGATGCTTTTATGCACTTTGAAGAAAGAGTAATTTGTGTAGAAATAGGAAACGCAGGTTTCTAAAATTGATTAATTTCAAATAAACTTTTCATAATTTACAATTGCTACTCTTTATTTTTGGGCAAAAGAGAAAAGTA